GTGTGTGTGTGTGTGTGTGTGTGTGTGTGTGTGAGTGTTTGGGGGCAGAAAATGAGTGCTGCCAGATACTGTATATGACATCATTGAGGTTATCTCTCTACCCAACAAACCTGCACATGTACTTTCACCAAGACCCAACAGTCTGCTTGAATTCAATCAAGCCACACCAAAATTGACATTAGTCGTCTAAATATGCCTGAATTTGTTTTCATTAAGATCCTTAAAAATGCCCCCCCCCCCCCAAGAAAAGCTGCATCTCACAATGTTAAAGTCCTGCCCTTTTTGATTCACGTCAAAAGTAAAGTAAAGGTTCTTCCTTGGTCCATTTCCCATCCGTCTACCAAATTTGTAGTCTGTGTGTGGTTCTGCAACAGTCAATCAGAAAAATGAAAAAAAGGTATTTGTTACATCCTGGAGGAGGTTTCAAAAACGTGTGCTCTTTTTTCTCCCACCAGTTTCTAGCACCTCCTAATTACATCTGTGACTTTGTAAAGGTGGCAGCATATTGGTACACAGGTTAGTCTCACAGCAAGAAGGTTCTGGGTTTGAACCTGACGGACGAATAAGGCCTTTCTGTGTGAAGTTTGCATGTTCCTCCAGTGTCTATGTGATTTTCTCCAGGTATCTTATCTTCCTCCCACAGTCAAAGACCTGCAGATCGGGGTGAGGCTAGAGCCTCTAGATTTCCTGTAGGTGTGAATGTGAGTGTGGACAGTTTGTCTCTCTATGTTGGCCCTGCGATACACTGGAAACCTGTCCTGTGGTATACCCCCACTCTTGCCCAATGTCAGCTGGGATTGGCTCCAGCCCTGAAATTACCCTCAAAGGACAAACATGTGAAGATAATAGATGGATGAATTTCCTGCTATGTATCTGCTTGCTATGTAAAGCAACAGTTTGCATTCAGGTTTAAAGGAAGCCTCGAGCACTTAAGCTTTTTAGCTTTTCCACAATCTCATGTTTGTATCATGAAGTGCAGCGCTGGAGTGCAGTTCATGGTTTTCCTGGCTGAGCATAACAACTGTATAGTGAGGGGCAGCAGCAAGTCTGACTCCGTCCAATACAGATTTCCCCAATTTCTTGGGGATACATATAGAGGCGGAGATAGTGTGCAGCCTCTTCACAGCCGTGGTTACGACATGTCTTCTTATCCGGCAACATTGGCGACCTTTAATCTGTATCTGTAAGCTCTCAGAAGACATGCACGAATGCCAATGAAATTAATGCAAAAAAAGGACAACAGGCTCTCTGCATCTTGTTCTCTGTCTAATGTTGAGCATAAATGAGCCTAATGCGTGCGCTCCATGCACAGACATGTGATTGATGTCAGTCTTCTGATTCGCTCTTGAAAGGAAAGCGATGAGGCATATATTCATATAAATATGGATGCTCATAAAGAAGATGGAATGATCTTGACTGAGCTGGCAATTCTGTACGTTTGCAGCGTTTCGTTTGCCGCAATGCATGTTTGTTTGTTTGTTGGTACGGAACAGCTGTTGCTCTCCTACTTTGTCTCCACATCCCTCTCTCCCTGCTGCACTGCAGCGGGCCTCCTCTACATCTGGCTGCGTTGTGTTGAACCTCCCACCTCGGCCAACAGATAAGCCCCAGTGATGGATACGCGGTGTCACCATCCAGAGCCCTGCATATCTATTACAGCACTGCGGCCGTTTCATGTGGTGGCTCTGTAAATGTGTGTGTGTGTGTGTTCTTTGGCAGGGAAGATGGCTCACACATTGGTTCGGTGGGTGTGTGAGGTGAGTGGGTGTTTCGAGGAGCTGGAAAGGGAAATCTTCAGTGGGAGTAGAAAACCGGCAGGGACGGAGGAAGATATGGAGAGAGAGAGAGAGAGAGAGAGCGAGAGAGAGAGAGAGCTGAGAGCTGAGAGAGACAGATGGGAGGGGGACGTAAAGCCCTGAGATGAAAGTCATGTTTAAACAGTAACAACTGTTTTGAGTTTAGTTATAATCTCCAACACTAGTATCATATTATTATTAATAGTTGACAAATTCATCATATGCATTCACCAGTGGAATTTTTTAGTGATGTCATTTAGTGATGTAGCTGTGTCTTGGCAACGTGACTTCATATAACCTGTGAAAAGAAAAACACATTCCTCTTCATCCAGATGATGAGTTGATGATAATAAGAACCTAACTGCTCTGTTGCTCAGTTTACCACTCTCAGGGGTGTTGTTGCGACAGCCTTATTTGGTCTATGACCAGCAGCATATGTCAGCTGTCCCTTCACTAGCATAATGAGTTTTCCTTCATGAGCTACTGTTTTAGTATTTAACCATGCTCCACAATTCTCACTTCATATAGCAAAGTGACACTGGTTCATTTTAATGCAAGGTCGACTGTATTTTTCGGACTTTAGCAGAAAACTGTTCTTTGAGTTGTGGTAGTCTGCTTCATTTACTGTCCATTTACACCTGGTGTTAGAATGTGTTATGTTTCCAGAATGTGTCTAAAATTGATTGTAGCCTGATTACTTTGACAACTGGTGTGTCCCCAGTGTCAACATTGACATTTGATTGGTCTGTCCAGCTCACATCACGTCCTCCTCTTGTTTGCTCAGCTCCACAAACAACAAACCAGAATGGCTCTCAGTAGAGCAGATACCCCCCCTTATAAAAACCTCATTTAAATTCATTAAATCCAGATTTTTATTTGGATCTGCACCAAATTGCACACACTCATAAATATTGGTCCCCATAAAAATGCCAGATTTCTTTCAAGATCTGTGAATAATTCATAATTATTCAACCGTACCGCATCCTTCCACCAAGTTTTTGTGTAATCCTGCCTTCAATCAAACAAATGGAGAGTCAGTGATAAAAAGATATCCTCCTTTTTCAGTCCCTGCCATTTGCAAAGGCCTGTAGAAGCTCACAGGCCTCAGCATAAAAGTAAAGTTT